CACTCACCAGCTCCGGCAGGAAGAAGGCGAAGGGGATGGTGAGGAACAGCGCGACCCCCGCGGGCACTTCGGGCGGCGCGTAGGTGGTGGCGGGCGGCGGCGGGGAGGCCATCTCTCTCGGCTTGGCTCGCTGGTGCCCTGGCTTCGCAGCGGGCTCTCCGCCTGCAGCCCTTCAAATAGCACCCCTGCCCGACACACCCATCGGACGTCGCCCAGAGGCGAGAGAGGGAAAAAGTTCTCGCTGAGCAGGTCCTTCCACTCGCTCCAGCCAGAGTCATCAGTGAGACGGGGTGGGGGGAGAGGGTGGGCATCCGACGCCCTCGGCGAGGGGAGGGGGCACACGGGGTCAAGGGTGGTTTTGCTCCCTGGTGGAGTTCTGGAATTCTTTTGTCTATTTGTTTTAACAGGTTTATTGGCACTTCATCCGCATATTGTAGGATTCAATAGTTCAATCATACCGATTTTAGACCATGTTCTTCTTCCTTGTACTCACTGTTATTCATGTATTTATTTTTAACTGTGGCCAAAGTGACACACAGCAAAGCCTTCTCCAACCCCACAGCTTCTAGATGCATGATTCCGTGCCGCTGATGGCACACTGTGTGTTGATACCCTTTTCACTCACAGAAACTCAGAGCCCCTAAGCAAAAGCCCTTCCTCCTGACCCTCGGCACCCACAGGTTAACCCCGGTTTCTTTCTCCCCTTTTTCTAATGTTTTTGTAGTTTTATCCATATAATCACATAGCATACACTCCCACAGTTAAATTGCTTTTAAAAGAAGTTGTATATGCATCATCACAATCTGCTCTCATGCTCCCTCCCCCAGCCCGCATTCACTGTTCGTGCCCCCAACCCCTCTCCTCCAGTCCCACCCCCAGATAGCCACTGCTTTCGTTCCCTCAGCTAGTCTCCCTGTGTCCACTCCTCCTGTGCTTCCTACGCTGGGAAAACTAACAGCAGCAATAAAAGCCCCAAACCAAAATGAAGCAGAAAGAACAAAATCGCAATAAGAATAATAATATTAAGATAAAATAAAGTATAAGAAAGAAAAGACCACCAAAAATATTTTGAAAGCCAGAGAAGACATTTATATGGTGGGAAAAGTGAGAAATATTTGAGCCTAGAGCAAATTCAGGTTGGGTCAAGAGAGAGGTCAACTGACCAAATATCATGTTATACCATGTTCGATCCACATAACCACGTTTATGATAAATACTATGTGTCTGTGAGTGAAGCTGTTCGGGTCCCTTGCCTGTGGCCAGAGGGGATCTGCTGGAGATGGATTTGGGGCTCCCACTGTCCCCATAGCCTTCTACAAATTGGGTGTTCACAGTGTAAGCGCTGATAGTTTTCCCTTTGTCACATTTGGATTTTTGTGATTGTCATCTTTGGGTCACACAGGCGGGTGTGCTGCTGCCTCATTTAGATGGCTGCTTGTGTGGATACAGACCTTTCAGACCCCAGACGCTATTCCGATTGATAGCTCTCTTCACCACATTCTGCTGTGAAGCTTTTGAGTTCCCCCAAAGAGTTACAGCTGAGGAAGCCAATGGGTTCGTGACCCTGCCCGCCGGGGCTGCTGTGTGTCAGAAAGGACTCTTCCGCGGCAGGGAGCTGTGCTTTCTTGGTGATGACTCCTTGGGCCCTGCTGGCCAAGTGACTGAAGTGTGTCACTGCTGTCCAATAGGTCAGGGGCTGGAACCCCCAGCCATGCCATGGGAGAAAGGCCCGATCCTCCACTGACTAAATATACAGTCTTGGAAGCAAGCCTCAGGGAATAGAGCTGCTCTGCCCTCCAGGGAGTCCCTAGGAGTCAGAATGGACTCCAGGACAGTGTGTTTTGTTCCGGTTTGCTTTATTACTCCAAGCAGTGCCAGCCACGGCCAACTCTGCCAGTCCTCTGCCCAAAGGAGAGGGTGGGACTCTGGGTATGATAAAGACCACTGGTGGAAGCCCTGCACAAGATTACTAACATAGAAGCCACTCAGCGCATCACGGAAGCAAGGCCTGGAGATTCTCTTCCTTAAAGATCACAGTCAAGAAAGCCATTCTGCTCTTCACACACAGGGGACGGCCATGGGTCAGACTCAACTTGAGGGCGGTGGTTTCCTCTGAGCCAAGCCCTCTACAGGGAAGCCTGCCGCTCCCGGCTCTTTCAGGAGGATTAGATCCATAGCTTGTCCAGGGTCACAGGGCTCATTCTTGGCAATACTGGCTCTTACAGCTTTCATGTCCTCCTGTGAGACTTCTTCCTTCTCCACCCTTGCTGGGGAGCCCCAGGCTCCGACTGGAAAGGAGAGGAGCAGCCTGTACTCCCGGCCCCCCAACCTTGTGACTTGACACTTCCTTTCTTTCTCTGGACCCCTCTTTATAGCTCCTGTCAGCCCTCGATTCCCTTGAGAGAGGACCCCTGGTAGTGTAGTGGTTAGCACTGGTTGCGATTGGCAAGGTCAGCAGTTCAAAACCACCAGCTGCTCCTCTAGAGAAAGAAGGGACTTTCTGATCCCATAAAGAGTGTTAGTCTTGGGAATTCACAGGGGCAGTTCTACCCTGTCCTAGAAGGTCGCTATGTGTCAGTATTGACTCGATGGCAGTGAGAATTCCAATGAGAGGCCCACCCTTGGGCCCCACTGATCTCCCTGTGGCATCAGAGGGAGGATTGGAGCTCCTGCTGGGCTGGTTGGGTGTTTCCCAAGCCCCAAGCCTCATTCTGCCCCCTCTTCCTCTAGCTAGACCCAAGCCAAGAGCCAGGTTTGGTGCCTGGCAGTTCTTTCCTGGGCTCTGCCCACCTGGGGAGGGTGGGGCCAGGGAGCTGGCTGTGAGACTGTGTCTCATAGACAAGCAAGCCTTTCACACAAATGACAGAATTGAGTCATCCTCCACTCTTCCTTAAATTTGGTTTACCAGCCTTCCTCTGGCCCCACCTCACCCCACTGCTCTTGGCTGCAGGGTCTGCTCAGGGAGTTTGGGCTGGAGCCCTCTCCTGCCAGCCCTCTGCAGCCTCAGCCTCACCTCAGCAGGCCATTTGGGAAGCCACTCCTGTGTGGAGAGAGGATGTGGGGAGAATTGTCCCCAGGGTTGGAGTCATTAGGTGTCCTGTGACAAGGGGCCGTGTTCATTCACAAGAGCAATCAAGTCCATGACTGCCCTCTGAGCACAGGCAGGTGGAGCTGCCAGTTGGCCGTCATCTGGAAGGGGAAGAGTATGGACAAACGAAGCCAAGCGGAAAGGCCTTTCGAAGGACAGGCAGTAGGCACAGCAAGGAAACCTCAAGCCACTAAGGTCCTCTCCACTGCCCCCAAAAGAAAGCGTCGCCAGAGGAGATCAAGTTGATTCCAAGTCGATTCCAGCTCATAACAACCCTTAAGGGCAGAGTAGAACCGCGTCTTAGGATTTCCACAACTGAATCTTTACGGGAGCAGCCAGCCTCATCTTTCTCCCACAGGAAGGCTGATGGGTTTGATCCATCTAGCTTGAGAATAGCAGCCCAAACGTAACCCACGAGACCACCAAGTGTCCTTCTCTTTGGAGGCCCTAATCCTTGTTTATGGGATTAACCCAAGCAAAGCAGATATCCCTCCAGGAAATCCACCTCTTGCTATCTCTCCTAGATGTTGCAAATAAGTGCTGTATCACATTTAGCAACTCGAGGGTACCTCTGACTTAACCACAGGTAACCTGGTATCGTTGGGAAAGCTTAAGGAAAAGTAAGACGAAAAAGCACTTTTCTCAGATCATTTCTCATCTAAGCAATGGAGAAAATAATAGAACCGAGAGCCCCACACCTCAACCCCCCTGCTGTCACGTCCATTCTGACTCATAGGGACCCTACAGGACAGAGCAGAACTTTCCTTGTGGGTTCCCAAGACTGTAGCTCTTTGACGGGAATAGAAAATCCTGTCTTACTTCTTCGGAGCAGCTGGTGGGTTCGAATTGCTGACCTTACATTCAGCAGCCAAATGCGTAAGCACCATGCCATAACCATGAGGTCAGCAGTTCAAAACCACCAGACACTCCGAGGGAGAAGGATGAGGCTTTCTACTTCCTCGAAGAGTTACAGTCTCGGAAGCCCAGAGGCAGTTCTACTGTCTTCCAGGGTCGCTCTGATCATAATAGACTCCGTGGCAATGAGAGCCTGGCAGAGCTCGAGGCCGGGACCACGGCCACCTTCCGCAGCCAGCAGACTGTTTTTTTAAAAAATGAAGAACTAACACAGCAAGGTTATAAAACAACAACAACAAAAACTGGGGTCTATTTAATCAAGTAACCATTTATTACATGTGACAAAGTCACACACAAAAAACCAAAAAACTCCCTGCCTTCCGATTCATAGCAACCCTGTGGGATAGAGTAAAACGACCACATAGGTTTTTCAAGGCTGTAGATGCTTATGGGCGCAAACAGCCTTAGCTTTCTTTTTTGGAGAAGTTGGTGGGTTTGAACTGCTGGCCTCTCCATTAGCAGCCAAGCATATAGCCACCATGCCACCAGCGATCCTTTTGTGGCCAAGTACAACACACATAATTAGGCTATTTATAAGAAAACGATAGGCTTTCTAATGCAGCACAGATGTTGAGGTTCCATTAGGAGCAGTTTAGAGCTGTAAGAAAAATATCTTTGACTTCCAGCCCGGTCAGTGGATCTTGAGGACTTTGGGTATGGACTTACTTAGAGATAAGGACAGAAGTTTGGCGAGAGCTTGGAGTATGCCCAGTCCAGCTCAGGGGACTTCTGGACTCCTGTGCCAGGGACCTGCTGGTTTCTTCCACCTCTTGGGACTGAGGATTAGATGGATTAGTCTGGAAGCCACTCCAACCCTGCTTGACACCATTGATGTGAATTCTGCAGCCTCCATTTCCATTGGTGAGTCAGAGAGGAGTAAGCGAAGCCGTAGATATGGAAGCCACGAGGGCAGTTCTGACCTACGGGAGATGCTTGGGAAGTACCTGTTTACCTAGCTTCTAATCCTAAAAATGCTTCTCTTCCAGCTACCGTATATACTCATGTATAAGATGACTTTTCCAGCACATTTCTTATGCAGTTTTTGTGGTAAAACTAGGCGCCTCGACTGATATTCGGGCCGGTTTATACTCGAGTATATACCGTACTTC